TTCGTTGATTACTGAAAATTGTAGCTTTAATATTTTCCTTTATTATAAACTTCTGTGTAATGGAAATGGTAATATGGAAGATTTTTTTTTAAATATATGCATAATTTCAAGCTTCCAAGTAGTTTATTTAAAACATAACCTTGACTTTGTTGCACAATGTTAGAAAAATAAAGATCTTCATCATCATCATGTGCCTTGCCGATTGGCGTGGGCGATCATGCCTCTCCATAATATGCGGTCTTCCTGCAGCATGTATCAGTTCGTGTGCCGACACACCTCCATGCCAAAATAAAGATACATGAGCAAAATCCAATTTGTCATTGCGTCTTTCTGTTTGTTCGATTACAGAAGATACATTTCCAGGGAAGGAATAAAAAAATCCTTTGGTGACAACTAGCAGGAGTGATAGACAGAAAGTCGGAAAAAGGGAGGGGGGGGGAGAGAGGCAAAACACATGTAACGTTTTTTTTTTTTTAAATAAGTTGACGGGCAAGCCATAATGTACTAACGATAACACAGATGCAAAAGAACTGTAAAGTGATTGAGTCCTAATGTATTCAGGTGTGGAATTACAACATTGCAGGCATTACAAAAGATTTTCAATTTCAAAATCGTTTGTGCCGTTATACAGCTGACAGGACTCACAGTTTATTCTTCCATTTCATTTTGTTCTGTGCAATTATTTCAATATCACGGGTAGAATACAATCCAGCACTTTTGGATTTTTTCATCACCCTTCATCTTAGGGTTTCATTTACAGGCCCTCACCTTCTCAGTTCAATTGTTTCCCATTCACCTCTTTCAGTACCATGAGTTCCTTGGATATTCGATATGATGATCTTGCTGTCTTCTATCACAGACAGATGTTATATTAACCCTTTGCGTCTGATTGTTAGTTTAACCACTTCTGCTCAGGCAGTCGTCGTGGTGTAGGCTCTCGCCTGCAGATCAGAAGGTCGTGGGTTATGTCACCAGACTTTTTTCACAATGACCTTGGCTCCATGGTCGACCCAGCCTTAAATGGGTATCAGGTAAAGTCCTGGGAAATAAAGGTAGCTGGCTGATGCTGACCACATCATCCACCGAGTGCCAATTGGTCTAGAAAACACAGATCTAGTCCTATATGCTCAATACACCAGATGGTGTGGAGAAGGATCCTTCATTAGCCTTTTTTCTTTTTTTTTTCAGCTCTTCACTTCTGCTTCAGCATTTATGTTGAACAGACCAAAGCATAGATGGCTTTTAAGCTCAAACCTTTAGAACAGGAGATGTTGAAATAACGACTTGGGACTGAAATAATGAAATACCTGTGTGGTGATTCTCTGTTGACTACCTCCTCAGGATGGCCTAACATACATACACACACACACACACACACACACACACACACATATATATATATATATATATATATATATATATATATATATATATATATATATATATATATATATATATATATATATATATATATATATATATATATATATATACAGGCTTAATCTGGGCACCAGAAAACAATTTTGGAAACGAAAGGTGGTTGACATTACACTGACACTATCCATCATCAAGTACTGGAGTTAGGGAAAAAAGTGACCAGTTAAGTTGCGTATCCTTTACAGGACGTTGCAGAACCAACCCCAGCATTTTTTGGCGGTTGAAGATTTTCTAGGTAAATTTTACGTTCAGTACTAAACGGTCAGTTTTAGATACCACTGTCAAAACCAACGCAAAACAAACCTGTCCGCAGCTGGGATCGAACCCAGCATTTCAACGCCCGTTTACAAAGCCTAAAGCCGACAATAGTGACCAGAGACCAAAAAAAAAATTTAGCTGTGTAATCTTTACATAATGTAGAAAAATCTGGCACTTTGGTTGTTGCTGATTGTGATTTTACTATACAATTTTAGGTTTAGTAGTTTGCCAGTGCTCCACCAGTTCTCTTTATGCTTTGTGGTACATGAGGCTTCAGAGAGGACTTTCCATGCTTTCCTATCCTGTGCAACCTTCAGTGCGGTTTTCCATGTCACAGATGCCGCACTCAGTTCTCTTTCTATCGTTCATCTCCATGCAGTTTTTAGATGCTCTTTCTCTTTCCCTCTGGTATCCAAGTGAGAGCTGTTTTGACAAGTATATCAGGATTCATTCTCATAATGTGGCCAAGTCATTTCCATCTTCTCTTGGTTATCATACTTTCCAGAGTTTCTTGATTTGTGACCTGAAGTAGTTTAGTGTTTGAGATTGTATCTAGCTAGAACATTTTGATAATTTTAGGTAGACGTGTGTGGTAGAAGGTGGATCCTTTTTGGTCATTCTCCAGCATTCTGCTCCATAAAGAAGAACTGGCAAATTATGCCTCTTGCAGAGTCTGACTTTTGTTCCTCTGCAGTAACTGTTGAGATTTCCAGATTTGCCTTTTCCTTCCAAAACTGGCTCTAGCTTTTTTTTCGCCAGGGACACTAGATGAGTATCATTTATTCTATACATTAGAGTCCTATGTAGTCACTTCACAGTTAGAGCCTATTTGTGTATGTGTACTGTGTTGTCCTTTATGTGCTGATAAAGGCTAATCGCCGCAACGTCCTTTGTTTGTTTATTGTGATCGATTTTGTAAAGCTAACATAAACTAATTGTTGTTTCTTACCAACTTTTTCTCTTCCCTATAATTTTCTACTCCTTATAAAAACTAGCTTTGTTCAAGCGTGATTGTATGTCCCTCCTAATAGGGACACCACACTGCCAAGATATGTAAACTGTTCTACATTTTCTAGTGCCTGGTTACTGATGGTCATGATCTGAGTTTTCCTTGTATTTATTCTCAGTCCAACCATTTCTGCTGTGCTGTGTAGTCTGTTGCCAAATCGCTTGTAGCAAGTACCCCAAAATTGTGAAGGCAGAAACATAACTTTAGAAGAAAAAAACTACATAACATATCCTTTTACTGAACATATTTATTGATCAATGGGACACACTCACACATAATTTCTTTCACGCCTGTAACATTCTCTTAGATTGAAATGATGAACTAGGGAAAAAAACATACAAATAAATATGGTCTTGTGTAATCCTGCTGTTAATAAATGCTTCTGAACAAAAACCCAAAAATTTTTGGAACTATTACTATTGGATTCTCATTTGAGTCATCAATTAGCATCAATTTTACAGAACGTCGCTCTTTTCACAAAATATCTAAGTCTCTTTCTAGCCAATTCTCCAGCCCTATGTGCTTTCACAGCTAATGCATCATCAATGCCTTGTATTCACCTTTGTAGAGGTCGGTCTCTGCCTCGTTTTCCAGAAAATGTGCCCTCCATCACCAATATCTCCTGGTCACCACAATATTTAACACAGCAAAAAAACTTGTAAACCAAATTTCAGAATTGACCTGCATTCCCAGGTGAACCCAATCTAAAATGATTCTAGAAAATGTCCTGGGCCTTGGAAGTGAAGACAGCCCAGCCTGTTTAATGATTACATCACTATCAAGTACCAAATAATCTTTGAAAATATGGTTCTCGCATATAGCTAATTTCCACACTGACTGGCTTGACACCCGTTTGTTTGTTTGTCACCGAACATGTTTAGTTTATTTTCCGTTTGGAGTACTCTCCTCCTTGTTATGGCTGTTAAAAAGCTCAGTGTGGAACCATCCTTCTGTGTTGTTTTGTGCAAGTTATTCTGCTTCCTGATTTCATTAAGCTTTTCAGTCACCACTGGATTAATTCCTTGGTTATAGCAACGTATGTCCAATGCCTCTCAGATGGGAAAGGTGCTCTTTCCTTTTTTTACCAAAGTACAGATGGCAAGAGAAGGTGTAAAGCCTGTGTTTGTAGCAATAATGCCATCTGCATTGACATGAAGTAAAGATAGCATGACACGGTGTGAAGCCTGTGTTTGTAGCTATTATGACATCTGTACTGACATAAAGTACAGATGGCAAGAGAAGGTGTGAAGCCTGTGTTTGTAGCAATAATGCCATGTGCATTGACATGAAGTACGGATGGCAAGACACGGTGTGAAGCCTGTGCTTGTAGCAATAATGCTGTCTGCATTGACATGAAGTACAGATGAAAGACAGGATGTAAAGCCTGTGTTTGTAGCTATAATGCCGTCCGCACAGATATAAGTTAAGTCAGATTTGGTTCCTTACAATTAACTGCATGGCTGGTTTCTAAAGGTAAATTATGCAAATATACTCTTATGTCTATAGAGTGAATCAGAAATATGTTCAATTACATGATAGTATTATGACTATAAAAATGAGACCACTGCAAAGGCACATCTTTAAGCTAACACACAACAATACAGATCACTTAAATGTCTAAACTGATCACTTTAAAGTCTCAACTGATCACTTTAATGTCTCAACTGATCACTTAAATGACTCAATTGATCACTTAAATGTCTCAAATGATCACTTAAATATCCCAACTGATCACTTAAATGTCTTAATTAATCACTTAAATGTCTCAACTGATCCCTTAAATGTCCCAACTGATCACTTAAATGACTAAATGGATCACTTTGATGTCTCAACTGATCACTTAAATGACTCAATGGATCACTTTGATGTCTCAACTTATCACTTAAATATCTCAATTGATCACTAAAATGTCCCAACTGATCACTTAAATGTCCCAACTGATCACTTAAATGTCTCAATTGATCACTTATATGTCCCAAACTGCTCAATTTGGAAAGTCACTCATTAAATTCTGACTCATGCACATGATATAATGTGTAGCTGCATTTCTGACTCATTCTATACAGCGTATATACATGCAGCGAAGCTTACCTTAATAAAAAATCCAGAGCAAAATTTAAAAAAATTAAGACCCAAAAATAAAACATACGAAATTAAACCTTACAAGTTCAGTCATTCTTTATTACGAACATCATGACTCCAAAATATATAGAGCGCCAATTTATTAGCAAGTCTCTCAAGTATTGAAACAATTAGGTGTGAGATTAAAATACAAAACATAATTCATGTGTTGTAGTTAATCTTTCTCTGCAATAGCCGCCAGGTACACATCTATTTCCTTTTCTGTCAGGATTCTGTGTAAAAGAAAAATATATGAAATTAAAGATTTTTTTTTTAAAGGAAACTATAGTAAATGACAAAGATTCATCTTGAAAAAGACATCTGAGAGAAAGTTTTTCTCATTTCCATACACTTTGTAGAGGAAAACAGAACAAAACAAGATAGAGAGAGAACAAAACAATATCATAGATTATCACAGCACTATTATAAAGAACTACTAAAGTAAAAATAAAGATCGGCGCTCATGCTTAAAAACACAACGCATGAAAACATCTGACAGCATGAAACAAAAAGAAATAATCCACATGCCTAAGATCAACATCTTCACATTTAAGACATTTACAAGGGATAAGCTGAAATTGTCTAATTAAAAAAAAAAACATTTACAAGGATAAACTGAAACTGTCTGACTAAAAAAAAAAGACATACAAGGGATTAACTGAAATTGTCTGATTACAAAGAAAAAACATTTACAGGGGATAACTTGAAACTATTTGATAAAAGAAAAAAGACATTTACGAGGGATAAACTGAAACCGTCTGATGAAAAAAAAATTAGTCATAATTCCTCTTGAAAAGTCCTTAAAAAAGCAACCACATTACAGAGGTCACTAACAGAGTTTGTTTACTGTATTTATCTACGTTTAAAATTAGGTCTTCTTCTGACCCTCCTAGCAGGAACACCACACTGCCAAGATATGTAAACTGTTGTACATTTTCAAGTGTTTGGTTATTAATGGTCACTGGTTGTTGGTTTGGACTGTTAATTATGACATTAGTTTCCAATGCATTTATTCTCAGTCCCTAATCAGCCAATTTCAATTTATCCCTCGTAAATGCCTTGAGTGTAAAGATGCTGATCTTAGGCAGGTGTCAAGGAATGACACGCCACTACACATTACCGTAAAAGAGTCGGGACCTGTATTACTTGTGCTCGACAAAACTTTCAAACTTGGACTCGTCCGGAATGGTAAATAGTCCCTTATATCGATATATGCCTTTATCGGATAGAATTATATTGTCTACATCTTCTAGTTGCTTTGACTTATCGTCATTTTCAAATTGGCAACTGTAAAATAATTATTTCTAGAGTTATTTGAATACTGCTGGAAACCGGTTTACTCCTTGCTCATGTATACAAGGAAATTCTTCTTACCGACGCCTAACTTGAATTGTGCAGGCATTGTTTCTGCCGGCATTCCTAGAGCTCAGATGTATTCATCGACGCCTCAGTAAATTTCACTTTAAGAAGGTGGCCTGTAGTGTCTAGGACTTTTCCTATGCTTGGGTAAGTTAATTATAGTTTACGAGTACCCTAAATATAGCTTTTTAAAGTTGGTCACTGCTGAAGAGAGATCAGAATCGGCTATGGGATCGCACATAGTTCGACCGTTCTTGATCTCTAGAGAAGCGGATTCAAACTTAGACCTTCTTCTGTACAGACTAAATAGCCTATGCCCTAAATAACCCACACATATTGGTAAAGATAATGACCCTACAAGTGTGTACCATTTAAACTAACAACAGAAGTTTGTGCATACGAATGGGGACGGAGAATTTAGGTCAGTACTTGGGCAGCCAGAGCGTTGCGTTGAGTGTGTTTGTCAGATCAATGGATGTGTGGGAATGGCTTGAGAGTCATAGGGGATATGGGTACTGACTCTAAACATTGGTGTCTGTGTGCAGATGGGAGGAAGGAGAGTAATTGAGATACGTGTGATAGTGTCTATCTGTCTCCACCATATATATATATATATATGACTTTCCATCTCTTGCACTAAACAGACAGATAAATGATAGGAGACATTGTCTCCTGATCTTGAGAGTACACTCTGAGGAATGAAACAGAGGAGCAGAGGTGGAGTAGGCTGATGTGGGATGGTAACTGATGCTTATTCTGAGTCTTTTCTGTCAAGATGATACCCTCTTGGTGATGACTAATTCTGAGTTCTTTCCTGACAGGATGAAACCTTTGTGAAGAGCTGGCAGAATAATCACAGTCCAACCAACACCCACCAACCAACTATCAACAAACTACCCACCAGCTAAAACCAGTGAAGGTACCTCATCATGGGGTGCCATATACCCCAAACATCCTAACAGTGCCAGAGCATGTGAGTGAACTCCAGAGCAGGTGAAAATTTCTAGAGAGTATATCCATACTCGAGTAGACCAGTCTTCAGGAGCTTGGTGTAGCTCAGAGACAGTGTTGTGACCTGACCAGTGGGAGAGACTTGCTGAGTACCTATACAGGTTCTGTGTCCTCTATGGTGAGGTACTCCTCTGCTACCTGATCCATTTGAAGCAGAATTACCAGAGTCAAAGACAGTCGAATCATCAAGAGCTGAGGGAAGCATCAACGATAGAACTAGGATAAGTTCCAGTTTTATTTCTATATCATGCTATATTCCCCACAGCTCCAATGGATTCCAAGGATGAGACAGTGTTACCTCCAGGACTTTCTGGCTGTTTAGATTTCTGTTGAGTCTGGTCATTGTGTTCTGGGATCCTTCCACTGAGATCTGGCGTCTACTTCACTATTATATATATATATATATATATATATATATATATATATATATATATATATATATATATATATATATATATATATATATAGTATTGATTACATGCATTCATTTTCATGGCTGACTTAGGTGTCTCTATTTCACCTTTCTAAGTGTTTAGCATTGTGTGTGTGTGAACCATAAATATTTTATGTGTTAACATGGTTATGATAATAAACTATCATAACCTGGGGGCTTTCTTTTTATAGTAGTGGGGGTGTCCAGCCAAGTGTGCCTAGGAATATTGTATTCATATACATATATATTTTGTAGTGCCAAAACTTGAGTTGCCCTACTCCAGAAATAAGTTGAGCGTATATTGACCATGGGGTATCCCTTAGACCAATACGAGCCAAACGACTCAACATAATTATTTCTGAGCGCTGTTGGTTCTTAAGTAGAAATGCTTAAATCAGGCATGTGACAGCAGGTCACTAACAGATTTTGTTTACTGTATTTATCTACGTTATAATTATTTTGGGGTTGGGGTGGGAGGCACGGATATGATAAAAAAAGGGGGTAGGGGGATATATAAAAGGGTAATCTGTAAACACAGATAGAGGGAAGAATAAATGGAATACATTCCTTGGGGTCTAAAAACCATGTATCATATGATTCATGTTACGATCTCTATCACTGAAGATTACAGAAAAATTTGGCATAAATTTGACATTCGAAAAGCCATCATAAGAAAACATCCCTTAATGCAGGCGCACCGAGAACCAATGACATTTAATTATGCTTTACAAGAGCAGGTAATGGCCGACATTAGTATACATCTGAATGTTGAATGAAGAATCAACATCAAAGCACTCAGGACACTCCCATAAGTGCTCAGTCCCCATCTTAAGGGGTCACTACACGGCATTTTTCCCAATTTATGACAAAAATATCACTTTTTCAATGTGTTCGTTTTTGTAAAGTTCGGCATTCGTACAATAGATGACACAAAAAATTGATGTCATTTGTAAACAATTTAGCATTGAAAAGTTAATACTAATGACACCACATTGTGCACTTTTTTAAGATAAAAAAAAGTTTAAAAGTCAGTTCTCTCAAATCTTTATATTTCAGTTTGCTGTGTGTGTGAAATCCTAAAATCTAAGCTAATATGAAGAGTGGAATCATGAAATTTGGTATGCATACTCCATAAACAATATTATAGGGACTGGTTTATCTAAAAGTAGATTTTAGAAAGTTTTTGTTTCTAAAATTTGATTATTGTCTTATGATGCTAGATTTTTTTGACTTTTTCAATAAACCTACATTTTAAAATTCTATGAAAAATATTTAAAAACATGTTTAAAGTAAATAAACTAGACCAGTACCTCTAAATAGGACAAAAGATCATGGATCTATCATCTATTGTTGAATACCTATGTTTGCTTTTAAAATTTAAGGATTCTAAGTACATATTTGTTTTTTTCACAAGATGGCGGCTATTGCCATGACAACTATGATTTTTTAACACTTAACTCTTTGAGTCCCAAGGGGTTTTGCATCACAGGCCCAGGGGGTATTAAAGAGTCATAAAATCGGCGCATCGTGCGTTCATTGGGCTTCTAGGTAGGAACCTATGAACGTATGATGCGTTCTTTGGGACTCAAAGAGTTAAAGTATACAAATGTAATAACATGTATCCCTACAAATGACCATTATAAAATAACTGCTCTAAGTCTGTAAATAAAAAAATAAAAATTTTTGGTGTAGTGACCCCTTAAGCAGCAAGCAAAGAGTTATGGTACCAGTAAAGGTCTGATTGTATAACTGTCTCATCCTTCCCGATGAGTGCTAAGCATTGGCCAGATCCCCTGGTAACTCCTCGCAGCGCCATCCTCCTCAAACTGTAATTATCTATCTGTGCCTCCTCACAGTTCACCCCTTCTCAAAGGGCCCTCACAATATCTCACGTAATAATATTATAGCAATGATAGTAATGATTAAGGATGATAAGTTATGATAAAGTGATTGTGGTAATATTATAACGATGACCTTTATGACGAAGTGATAGTGATAATATTATAGCAACGATAGTAATGATAAAGAGATTGTGACAACATTATAGCAATGATAGTAATAAAGTGATTGTGGTAACATTATAGCAATGATAGTAATGATAAAGTGATTGTGACAGTAAATTTGCAGTGATGATAGTTAGTGCACCAGTATTACAACATCTAAGCATGCAATAAGATTCTCTCCCCAACTAATACTGGTTGGATAATCCCACCTTGAAACAGATATTTCTGGGATGGACATGTGGTAGGCAAGAGAGTTACCTAATTTCACCAAAAAAACAGAAAATCTATCACTTTACAATTCTAGAACAGTAACAACAAAAAATCCCACAAACCTAAATTTAGGATCATCCTTGGAAATGAGGCCAACTTCAACCTCTGAGGCTTTGAAGTCAGCGGACAAAACAGTGGACAGGCAGGTGATTGCAATCTGGAGAGAAAAAATCATCATCGGGATAAGAAAACATAATGGGACTATCTACTTTTTTATTTTCAACATTAACTTATTCGGTACTAGCATGTAAATACTTTTAACACTTTGTATTTCAAGAAAAAAAATAAAACAGCTAATGTTTTAGTCCAAAGTAAACAAATAAGACAGAGGGAGTAAAACTACCATTTCAAATATACTGAGTTAATGTAGCAACTACCTGTGATTGAACAGTCAGAATTGTGTAAAATGTTGCAACTAGATATGATAGAACAGTCAGAATTGTGTAAAATGTTGCAGATATATGTGATAGAACAGTCAGAAATGTGTAAAATATAGCAACTATATGTGATAGAATAGCCAGAAATGTGTAAAATGTAGCAACTACTTGTGATAGAACAGTCAGAACTGTGAAAAATTGTAGTAACTACCTGTCACTGAACAGTCAATAATGTGTAAAATTTAGCAAATATCTGTGACAGAACATTTAGAAATGTGAACTGTCTTTGGATTATGCAATGAGCGGATGATGGGCTGTACAGTTTTGTGTGTTATATTCAACAGTCAGATTGTCTTCTGCTTCTGTCCCTTCCCCCCCCCCCCCCCCCCCCCCCGTTGGAGCACAGGCCCTCAACCAACTCACGCCAAGTCATTCTATCCTTTGCTATAGCATGCAGCTCACCTTATGTCTTACCTATCATTTTAACTTCCTTCTCTAGCTCCCTTCTCCGTGTTTTCTGCGGGGGAGGTGGGGTTCCCTGTGGGTTCCGGTGCAAAGACATTCTAGTTATACTGTTTTCAGGTTTTCTCAGCGTGTGTCCTATCCATCACCAGCATCTTTTCCACACCTCTTGGTCTGCTGGAACTTGTTTAGTTCTCTCCCAAAACTCAGCATTAGTGATTCTGTCATACCATTTACTTTCCTCTATTCTGTGCAAGCACCAGTGAATGAATATTTGAAGTATATTGGTAAATATTTTATTTGTCCTCAATGCTTCTGCTCCATCCAGCACTACTGATTTGACATTAGAGCAAACATTTTAAGGTTTGGTATTAGTTTTAAATTCTTTTGACCTATACTAATTCCCTGGTGCTATGGAAGCTCCTTTGCCTTTTGTATTTGAATATCTCATAAAAATTAACTAATGTTGAGGTGCACGTGATAGGAACAGATCACAAAAGCATGAATTGGTCGAGGGCAAATGCTCATTTGTGGGATAAAGAGCATAAGTGTGGAAGGGCGCACTGGCTAGAAGCTAATTTGCAGGTTGCAAGGTTTTGAGTTAGTAGTCTGCACCGGAAAGGAATTGTGATAAATTGCCTAGGGCGTCCAGGTCGAGGCAGCCTAAAGTGGGTAAAGGACATGGGTACAGGGACATGCCCTGGAAGGTGAAAGTAGCTGATGTGATGCCAATGATAACACACAGCAAGTGCCGTTTGGTCTATAGACATGTCGAGCACCCTTGTTTCAAATTCCCTTTACAGGCAAAATAAGTAACACAGATATTTTGAAAGAGGTGACAGCCCAAGGACAACTTATCCCAAAAATAAGGAGACATTCATGTGTTGTTTTTTTAAATGAGAAGAGGGAAACTGGATCAAGTTGTGACCATTGGAAAGATTTGTAGAGAGGCAGAGGAAGACAACTCGAGAAGATTCTTGACAGCCTTTTGTTATGGCACAGAGGAGTGCCAGCACATGATCTGATACATGCTGTTGGAGACTGCAGGTTGTGGAAAGGCATGACTGCCTATGACAATTGGCAAGGCACTTGATGATGATGAGCACCATATGTCAGTTGCAACAATAGCGCAAAAAGAGCCCCTTTTCCCACCCAGAGATGACTGAGATAAGAATTTCCCAAAAAAATCACTTGTACTAAACAACAGTACATTAGTGACATGTGACCTCAAGAAAAGAACTAACCAATCTGTTAACAGAGATAATTCTCCACCTTATTCTACTCTTTATTTCCGATGGCAAGTGTCGTTTAGTTCAGAGGTGCAATTTTTACTGAGATTCTTGGTTGTCGCCACTGGAAGTACAGAGTTTGTGCTTTGTATGATGCTCCTGGTAGACAACTACCACTCTGTGGACGGAGACAGACCCAAATGGGATAACCCTGGGCAATAAAGTCGACTGTCTCCACTTTAGCTTTATCTTTACCTCCAACAGGAGCAGAGGTCTTTAATCAATATATACCAAGCCATGCTATCTTTTACCATCACCTGTATTTTCCACGCCCCATCCCCTTACCATTCATCTCTGTGGCAAATTTTCTACTAGAGTTTTAGGTCTCTCACTTCTATCATTTATACAAGCAATTCTGGTAGCTATGCATGCAAGTATAAGTGTATGCACGTATGAAAGTCTACTTATGTATGTGTGAGTTTGTATGTATGTGTGTTTATGAATAAGTCAGTACATATGTGTATTTATGAATGTGTGTTGTGTGTAAGCATCTGTATTTATGGATATGGGAGTGTGTTGTATGTATGAATGTGCTTAAATGTATAACTATGTATGCAGTGTATGTAGAGGGGAAGTTGGGCACACCTTCCACATGTTCATTTTTACATCACATCATGGTACTTTAGTATGTGGTGCAAATATACAGCTTAACCCACTGACTACCAGCGTCGCACGAGGCGACGTTTACTTCCTGTTGCCAACGTCACACTCCTTGCGATTTTAGCTTTGGATGCTTGCCGTCATGTTAAAATCGTGATTTTTGTGATGAATTTAGTTGCAGCCTTTAGCTTGTCCACTTCTCTATGATTAATTAAGGGAAATAACTTCGTAGTGCTTAAGGTACAAATTTGACGAATTTTCTTAGTTAGCTCCTGTGTCAGTAAGACTGACGAAATTTTCATGATGGCGTCAAATTATCGGAACACTTGTGGTGGTCGTATTGCGGCAGTTTCTGATACTGATAGTTCTTGTGAGAGTATTCAGTCAGAGCCTATAGATTATGAAGATTTTGTGCCTGAGTCTGCACATGAGGAAGATATAATTGCCACTTTTGATTCAGAATCATCATCATCTGACGAGTCTGGGGAAGATTTGCCATGCCCACCACTGGTTGACGACTGGCAGTTTGATTTAGAAGGTTTTCCTGAAGTACCCCCATTTACTGGCACTTCAAGTTTATTTCTGCCAGAAGGAACAAATGAACCACTGAATATTTTTACTATTTTCTTCAGTAAAGAAATTCTTGCTGTGTTTGCGAACGAAACAAATCGTTATGTTGAGGCAAAGATCGGTGTAAAACCAGACAGCTGTTTTGCCAAGAACTGGAAACACACAACCCCAAATGAAGTGAGAGGGTTTCTTGTACTGTTGCTTCACATGAGTGTTGTGAAAAAGCTGTCTATTTCAGACTACTGGAGCATACATCCATTTATCCACTCACCATTTGCTGTCACCATCATGTCACGGAGGCATTTTCAGCTCCTATCTGCATTTCATATTGCAAATAATGCTTTTCAGCTGCCTGTTACAGATCCTCACCATGATCCATTACATAAAATACGATTTTTTTATGAACACTTGAGAAAGCTGTTCAAATCATTGTGCACTCCAACTAAAAAAATATATATGATGAAGCCATAGTGCCCATGGACGAGGACGTCTTAGCTTCAAGGTGTACATGCAGGATAAAACCCAACCCATGTGGTATAAAGATGTATGAACTGTGTGAATCAAGCTCTCATATGTGTTTGACTTTGAAATGTATGCCAATGTGCCTGGTCTTAGCAAATAAGCCAGTGGATGTTTGTATGAGGCTCCTGCAACCACTTCTAAAATCAAGGTTACTGGTGCTACATGGATAATTATTATTCATGCCCTGAGCTGTCACATCGACTACTGCAGAAATGGAACTATGTCAGTTGGAACTGTGCGTAAGCAACAGAAAAGGTATGCCTAACGATTTAGCAGACCTCAGAAACTAAGTCCAGGGAGAGACGTCATTTAGAAGGCAGAGAGAAAACCTAGCTGTACTGAAGTGGAAAGATAGACGAGAAGTCAGTCTGATCACCACAGTCCACAATCCTTCCACAATGATTGAAGTTCAGACTAGAACTAGAAGGCAGATAAAACCTGAAGCCATCAATGATTATTCCCATAATCATGTCAGGAGTTGACATCAGTGACCAGTTGCTGGCTTATGTCCCTCTTACACGTCGTTCTTTGAAATGGTGGCGGAATTATTTTTTGTCATTTGTTTACTCTTACTGTATTCAGAGTTATCACATACTGCCATCAGAAACTATTAGTGAAAAAATGGAAAGCAACCTCTGAAGTTGCAGAATTTTATTCACAGCTGGGGAGAGCTCTTACCTTGGATTATTCAGCAAAAAGAAAGCAGCAACACCTTGTACTCCAAAAAAAAAGTGTAAATGTCCTTGACAGCGTCTGACAGACAGACACTTTGCTTCTCCACTTTCACCAACAGCTTCAAACTCAAAACCCAGAAGAAGGTGCACAGTATGGTGTACAGAAAGATAAATGTAAAAATCCAGAAAAAAAAAAGGCCACAAAGGGACCATGACAAGTTACTGGTGCAGGGAATGTCACAGTTGCCACTTTGTATTGAAACAATGCTTTGAAACTGTACCATACCACTGATAAAATTTTGGCTGTAATATTGACAAATGTGAGTTTTATATATCTTTATTTGTTTTGTTGCATTGATATTCAATTGCACCCCATATTCTAACAAACTTTTTTCCTTGAAATTGTTCTTCATTCAATTTGGTGCAAATAATCAGATAGTATGAGTGCATCTTGAAACAGTGATAAGCTGTGACATTTTTTTGGGTCTGTATTGTCAGATAAAGGATTTTTCACTTGCTTTATTTTGCAACAATCTACAGCCACATGATGATGATTATTTTTGACAAAATAAACCCCATTTTTGTTCTTCAAATGTGTTCTCGGTTCAATTTTGTGTAAAAATACAAAAATATAATAAATGTTTGTTGAAAATTTTTGAAAATATAACGTTTTTATTGGTCTATGTTGTCAGATAAAAGATTTTTCAGTTGCCTTTTTTGCACCAATCTACAGCCACATGATAATGATTATTTCAGACAAAATAAACCCCATTTTTGTTCTTCAAATGTGTTCTCGGTTCAATTTTGTGTAAAAATACAAAATATAATAAATGTTTGTTGAAATTTTTTGAAAATATAACGTTTTTATTGGTCTATGTTGTTGTCAGACAAAAGATTTTTCAGTTGCCTTTTTTGCACCAATCTACAGCCACATGATGCTGATGCAAAACAGAATAAACAACGTTTTTTCCTTGAAATTTGTTCTTCATTCAATTCGGTGCAAAAATACAAAATATTGTGAGATGTCAAATAGTTGTGAAGCTATGGCATTTTTAGTACACACTAAAATACGTGGTATCTGGGGAAATGCAAGGGTTAATGGGCTTGGTAGTCAGTGGGTTAATACAAAGCAAAATCAACATCATTTTGACTCAAAATGTGTTAGCAAACATGATAATGTTTCATAAATCCCAAAAAACGCTAACCTCAACAGCTTCACTGTCTGTGAATTCATTCTTTTTCTTGATCTTCTTCTCCAGAAAGCTGTTTGCTTCCAGCTGCTTGACCCCAGCTGCTGTGGCCTTGAACCCACAATAGTAACCAGCTGGGTCAGTCTTGTATACTTGAGGTCCCAGCTCTTCATCATAGCCAATCAGAATCATGCCTGTAAGATTACATGTAATATGAAAACACTGGTGCTCCTGCAAAACTCAATTTATTGATTCTATAGTTACTAAATTAGGGAGTTACAAGATATCCTTGGCTGAGACAAACTCAATTCCAGTCACCTTCAATGTCATCAATTTCCACTTCTGCCGTTAAGCAAACCATTTTGCAATCCATTGCTCAAAGGGTAGCACTGTCTATTGTCATTTCTGTCAGTGCAGAACCTCTTTAATGTCATCAATCCATCTTCCCCTTGAGCAATGATATTTTTTTCACATCAGATATGTTCAGATGCAACACCTGTTTTGCATTCTTATGTGATGACTGAACCATATAATCTTCTGCTTCTCAATTAATTCTGTGCAAAGTGTTGTTTCCATAATCTGTCTAACAGTATTGTTTTTAACTCTCGGATGGTTCTTCTGCTTTTTCTTCATATTCACCGGATGTTTTTAACTCCAGCAGAAAAGATCTGGCTGTTATCCACTTCTAGACTTGCACGCATATCCATTTTACAGATTTCCATTATATGTATGCAGACAGTACGTTCTTTGCCTCTCAGCTACGACTTCGAAGGATACATCCCTACAACTGACACTCTATGTGTATGTATGTCTCTCTCCTTTCTTATTGCCTCAAAATAGGGAATGATTTAGTTAACAGCTCTCCTTAGGCATCTCATCTTGCAGCAATTTCAATTTAAAACCCAAAACACAAACTGTTACATTAGTAACTAATACAGAGCGAGATAATTAGAGTGATATCCAGGATTTCCCCCACAAGCAATGGAAGACCACGACAAGTATAAACATCATTAGGCAATGGAGGGATATTAAGAACATATCCATGGTGCATCAAAGGGAGACTTAAAAAAGCACATCCACTGTGCAGCAATAAAATACTTATAAATATTGCAGCAACCCTAAAACGCAGGAGCTGATACAGCAATAAGACTCTTGCTACAGTAGACATCAAGACAAAACCAGCACACAGTCAACTGGCTTACATTTCTTGGGACCCAACTAATTATAGCCTGACACTTGACCCTGTGACCCAGTAAACTACTGTAGCCAATGAGAAATATGATGTAGGAATGTCTACAAATTAAAAAAAAAAGGGAATCCCCCTAAATGCTATTTTTAGATGCAAATAATTCTGTTAGCTAGATGTCTTGTAAACACGTCTCTCTATGGCGAGTCGGGAAAGCGGCTCTTAAGAGGAAAAGTAGCAGCCACAAGTTTCAGTTATGTGGCTTCTTCATGTGAAATAAAGTTATGCAGTTTAGAAAAACTAAACAAAAATGTTTCCATGAAAGCTTTTTAACTATGATGAATGTACAGATAAAGCTGGGCTCTCCATCACTTTATTCCCCACAGCAGCTAGGACCTAAACCAATGCACACACCAGCTGTCACATTTAAGGTAACTTATTTCAATTCCTACCCATAGTATTCTTCTCTCTCTTTTTTCCCCCTTTATTCTCCAAAGCAGCTCATGTCCTCAACTAACTCTTGCCAAGTCATCCTATTCTTTGCTATCGCACAGAGCTCAGTCCATGCATGTCCTCCCCACCTTAATTTCCCTCTCCGTCTCCCTTCATGTGTTTTTAGTAAACCTCTATTTCTATGCCCCTGAAGACTCCAGTGCAAAGACATTCTAAACATATGTCCTATCCAACGGCAGCAATTTTTTTCTTCCCCTCAATTTGCTTAATTCTCCCCTAAAGCTCTAAATGACTGATTACATCATACTATTTAATTCCCTCTATTCTGCGCAAGCTCAAATTAATGCTTGTAGTTTATCAGAAACTGTTTTAGTTGTTCTCTATATTTCAGCTACTCACAGAATTAATCATGTCTTTAATTCTCATACCCATATGTTTAGAGGTCTCCCTATGTCACTTTTGTCCTCTGGGATTTTTTGTGTCCGGGTGACATAATTGGGTTGTGCCTGCTACAGCTAAGCTGCAACATTTGTGCCTTTCAGCCAACACATCTGACTTCAATGAGCATTTGTTGACCGGGTTGCAAGCTAACCAATAATAACAAGTCAAATAAAAACAACTAACCCAGCCAAGATGAGGGAAGGCTCCCCCGAAAGAATTACAAAGCAATATGGAGAAATCTGAAAGGAACCCAGCCTACGCGATCACAGTAAAATGTCATTATCAGCATCTTCTTTATATCAGAATAAACTTTGACAAGATTTAAATGCTGAGAACAGTTCTTACAACAGCCCAGTGGTCTCATTTCGGCACTCTGTGTGTACACCTGGTTGATATCAGCTATCCTCTTGCAAAGCATATCAACTGGTATATCATAACCATACGTGTACTTCCACTTGGCTGCTTCATATCGGGCCCGCTGCACCTGAGATTTGCTGTCAGCTGAAACATTTAGGTACAACACATTAACTTGCACCTCCTAGGTTAGGTAGATAAGTACAGTAAAGGACTCTCTTCCACGCCTTCAGGCACATAGGGCTAGATTTTATAGACCAATCAACACTTGGTGGGTGATGTGGTCAACACCACACAGACACCTTTACTTCTCAGGACATTACTTGATCCCCACTTAAGGCTGGATCAACTTGGGTGCCATGGTCATTTCTGAAAAAATGTATGACTCCTTCAGAATATGAACCTACGATCTCAGTATCCGCAGATGAGCACCTAGCCACTAAACCATGGCGGTTAAGTAGGTAGATTAACACTTTCAGCACCAAGCTGTTGAGTGTCAAGCTAAGAACTGATTTCACAGCACTCAGGACAACTGCATAAACACTGACGTCATCATCAGCAACTAGCGAAAAGTTCCAATTTCAATGCTGCTAGTAGCAGTTTGATTATATGTTCATCTTCCTATGAGTGCAGACTGTCGACCAGATCCCCTATCTCTACGATTTTCTCCAGACCACAATTATCTATTGGTGCCGGTGCATTGATTACTTGCTCCTAAAGGCTCTTGACCACATAAAGCTAGTCAAGCATAAATTCACCACCCATTGGTGCAGAACCAGCCAAACACTGGGAGTACCAAGCTAATGTTATATAATTTGCTCTATTCAATTCAAAGAATTTTTACTTAGAAGCAAACAATGTTTGGATCAAAAGTTTGATAATAACATTATGGGACAACAGGAGTTTAAGTAAAAAAAAATAACTGTCCAAAACAAATTTTAACGGAGAATACTGCAAATATTTTGTCAAACAAGATCACAAATGAAGAGTTGTGGAGGAAAACAAACAAAATGTTCACCAGTAGCAAACATTATCAAAGAAAGAAGATGGAGATAGTGTAGACATGTCTGCAGAATGCCTCATGACACTGGCAAGGACAGCAGATGAAAAAAGAAGACGTTGCTGACCTAAGGAAACCTAGTCCGCCTATCTTTAATTCTGTGTTTTAAGTGCGATCCAGACTCTCATCTTCTTCTTCGCGTTCACCGCCTGTAAACTTCAATTAAAAGGTTCTTGGTGTTTGTCCACCTCCTGACATTAGTCTTGTTCCAGAAACTAAGTGTTGCAAGCACATCTGTTTCATACATGTGGCTAATCTTAATGCAGACTCTTGGTTCCTTGTCTCTCAAGCAGATGTACTCCAACTTCAAAGGATACCCCAAATTATTGATGCCTTCGACATGCTTGCTGGGGAGGCAGTGGGTCTATTGTTTTCTCCACAATGGGGCCCTGGAAACCACACGGGGAAGACTCACTACTGTCTGAATCTGCCTCATCTGAATGTAAGTATGGTTCCAGGAAGGAGTAAGGTATGCAGGAACAAATGCCACATGCCATTAGAACAATTAGCTTCTATACTTTATGGCACCTGCTGAGGGAGACTGAGTACCTTTGAGTTTATCCGCAGTGCTGATTACATATTTACTGTAAAATACTTCTTGTCTTTCAGGAAATAGACAAGATGTACCTAATACAAACTGTAATCTACAACTCTTAAAATTTAAAGAAGTGGATTCTTCAAAAAGACATCACTCACGTGGGACTAGTTAACAAATAATCTTCTTCTTCTTCTATGTTCACCGATTTAAAGCTGCGGCGGAAAGTCCTGGTTGTTCGTCCATTTGGACTTTGTGCCAGGACCTGAGTTTTGTGTGCACATCATTTTCCTGGCTTATTTGTAGACAGTGGCTGTTCCTTGCCACTTGAGCAGATGTACTCTGATTTTGAAGGAAGCTCTCAGTTAGATGACCCTTTCAACAGGCTTATTGGGGTGGCAGTGAATCTATTTTTGTCTTCCCCACAATGTGGCCTCAGAACCAAAACAGGGAAAAATAGATAATAAAAGAAAGAAACAGTCAGTTAAAAACTAACATCTACTGATAAAATGATACATAGTTGAAGATCACAGATTGTGGAGAGGCATGCTCGCCCACGCCAGTCAGCAATGCACTTGATGATAATATGACTGATAAAAGAAATCACTCACCAATCATCCCTGTCATAACACAACCAATGGTGTCTGTCAGTGGGTACAGGTGTGTCACAGTGTCAGAATCCAACAGCTTATCCTGCCAAAACAAAAAGCAAGATATCCATACATCTTAAAGGGTTCAATGGTCACAGATTATTAACGGAAAGATGTGTCAAAATAAATATAAACTCAGCCACTGACATAAGATTCCCAATTCAAATTCATTGTAATTTTTCATAATATGCTTAATACCACATTACACATTTTTGCCTTTGTTTAGACATTTATGCTTTAATCTTTTTCTTCAGCATTTCTAGCTCTTGAGGTTGACTGCTACAAACATGACCTGCCTACATTCTTCTCATAAATGTTAGTATATTATCTCGCCACCTGCTTCTTTGTCTACTCCCATTCAACTCTGATGTGTATGCAGTTTATGTCTGCATTAATATAAACATTCAAAAACAGTTCTGATTGATCAGTATACAGAAGTTCCCACCTCAAGAAACTATCTTGGCTGTAAACACTGAGGCGAAAGGAAATGAAAGAGATGACAGACTGGCTGTGTGTGCAGTGGCTGGTAGAAGAAGAAGTATAGACAGAGCAGACACACTGAACACGTTGCATTTCAGAGACAGGTTGAAATAAAGGAGTCAGAGACGACTAACCACCTGCTGGAATTGGGTATTAAAGAAAAAGAACGAGCATGCAAAAATCGGCTGATATACGAATTAACTCCTACTGGGTAGGCAGAGCATGGAGACACTGAGATGGAAGTTGCATCAGAAGGTGGAGCACAAATGGGTCAGATCAGTGTGCTAGGATGCTGACACAGACAATAATGTAAAAGTGAAATCACAATTAAGCACTTGCTATCATTAGTGATGTATGCTTAAGATTTTAACAGCCAACTAGTGTAACTAAGCTCGTGAGACCAAGAAGTCACCATACAACTGTCAGTGATTAACGTAGTTATATTTTTTCTTTTACTTCTCTTCCTCTTGTATTGATTCATGTGTTGAGGAAAATGTAAGGTTCTGCATTCTGCTTATTTAGCCCCCTTGACCAAACACACTGTACCATTTGATGTTATCTTTCCATTTTCTTATCAGCCCACCTCATGCTCTTTGTACCTCTCCTCATTTGACGTACACCAGGCATTCTCTTTAAGTGTTTTATTTAATTCCACCTCTGACAGATATACACATCCTGCCTACCACGGCTTCGAATCTGGGTCATAGAATATGAGAGCCTAACATACTACACTCAGCCACCTGCTCTTTTTTGTGTTCTATTGTGAATCATAATCAGAGACAGAGTACTATATTCAACCTTACAGTGACATAACTATCATCATCATCATCATGTCATCAAGTCCAAAGACTTGTTCATACCCTTGAGAAGTCTTATTTCTGTTTCATACAATGTGTTAACAAATATAGAATCATAAATTACTTAATAATTTGCAATCTTGTATGTTCTTGTATCAGTAGTATCCAGGCTACTGTCCTGCACAGGAAAGAGTGGTGGGGGAAGGATCTATCAGGCTACTGTCCTGCACAGGGAAGAGTGGTGGGGGAAGGATCTATCAGGCTATACAAATTTAACTGAACTGATCTAGCAGTAAAAGAAAGCTGCCTGGTTACCGGAAGTTATCGTCTGTTAAGGCTGAAAGGAGATAAAAGAGCCAGCAGACTGGTCTTATCTGCGGTGGTAAGCTGAGGAAGAAATATAGACACAGAAGACATACTGAATGTGCTGTGTTGAAACAAATGAGTTACATATTGAACCACTTGTTGGAAGTGGATATTAAATGAAGACAAGCATGGCAAAACTGGCTGTGAGGCAAAGAGAGAAGATATGCCAATCAACTTCTCCAGAGTACAGTGAGTATGACACTGAGAGGACTGCTGCATCAGGTGATGGAGCATGGCACGATGTGCTAGGATGTCACTATAGATAACAAGTAACAAGTCTGTTAGGTTAATACTGACTTACTGGAACTTTCTTCTGTGTGACCACAACAGCATTAGTTTTGCCTCGTACTGCTACAGATGTTAAGCCACCTTGGTTGATGGCCTTGAAAGCATACTCTGAAAAGAGACGGAACAGTTCAAACTCAAAAATAATACAAACACTCAAATGAAGAGGTCACCTATTTTATTGTTTAGCTTATAAGCTGTATGCTTTGCACTCTGAAAGTTGTGAGACTGATTTTAGAAAACCATGTGTGGGGTTACATCACCTAATTTTAGGGGGGAGAGAATAGACACATGCCCCCTAACAAGCATGTCATACAAGGCAACTAAATAGAAGGTTGCTGAAATTGGATGTGTTGTGCCAAAAAGTGTAGATATCCCAACGTATCTGTAAACCACAATAACACACAATATGCTGACTGCATTTTTAAGAGTAAATGAGGAAGTAGATTTCAGGCAGTAAAGAATCTGTGAAAATGGGTGTTTTGGATATCTCAGTGAGGGTTCCAGGGCTCCATTTTGGAGAAACAAGAATAGACACACTGCCCCCCCCCCCCTCCCAAGAAATACGTAAAAGGAAGGGACTAATTAAGGATGTTTCCTTTAAAGCCGGAATGCATCTGCCTGAGAGGCAAGGAATCAGCAGTCTACAACAAATAAACCAAATCTGCAAAACATAATCTAGTATTGGACAAACAGCCAGAACCTTCTGCCAGTTTACATCCAGAGAACGTGAAAAAGAAGAGGAAATATATCCCCCATGGATGTTCCTGGAGCTAAAATTAATCACTTACTGCAGAAGCATTAAGCAAACATGGACTGCTTTTAACTTATAGCTTAAACTATAACTATAAGGCAATGTTTCATAATGGAAGAGACCACCCTGAGAGAAAACACACCCAGAGGCTGAGGCTAAATAAAGAGACAGCTACATTGCACTTACATGCCACGGCAAAAAGTAAAGTGAAAGAGCCTTTTCCATGCCTTCAGCTGTATTAGGCGTATAGGGCTAGTCCTATGTTTTATAGACTAATTGGCAATGGGTGGCCAATGTGGTCAGCTTCTCGCCAGCAACCTTTACTTTTCAGGACTGCACCTGGTAACCATTCAAGGCTGGGTCAACCCTCAAAATAATAAGATAACCAAGTAGATGCCATCTTCACAATGAAGGTTGGTTCCAATAGATTATATTTGAAGTAACATAACACTCTGCATCTTGCCCTGGATTGCACACATTCAGGCTGCTTTTTCTCTCATTATGTTAATCAACTGGCACTGTTGTTTACCTCTTACTTATCCACCTTCTCTTTACTCCGGTAGAGTTTTTAACAAAAATGTCACTTCAATGTTATTTCAACAACTCAACATTTCAAATACTGTAATCTCTTCATGTGAGCTTCAGGGCCCCATTGTGGAGAAAACATGACCACTGCCTCCCCAACATGAAGTCAGAGTGCATCTGCCTGAGCAGCAAGGAACAACCAACTGCACACAAATAAACCAGTAAAGCAGATGCAAAACTCTGGCCCAGCACAGTCCATAAGGCTGAACAACCAGGCCTTACTGCCAAGGCTTACAGACAATAATCAACAACAAAGTCAAGAAAAAGACATTTTTAATCTGGTCTGTCTGGAACATCAGCAGTTTTTTTTATTTCTTCTTCTTTTCCGTGTTCACTAGCTGTAAAGTCTGGCAGAAAGTTCTGGTTGTTCGTCCACTTCTGAACTGCAGTCCTGTTGCAGAACTTTAGTGTTGTGTGTGCCATCTGTCTGACAGATCTGACTAATTTCTATGCAGACTGTTGGTTCCTTGTCTCTCAGGCATATGCACTCCGACTTTAAAGAAAACTCAAATTAGTCAACTCCTACGAAATCTCATCTGCAAACTATATCCTTCCAGGGCCCCAGTTCTAAGATTGACTTGCTAATTGTCTTTTTATTGTCCACCATAATATTAATTATGATAATCATATTAATATACTAAAGACTACAAGAAATCAGACTCACAAGAAATCCCCCCCCCCCCCCCCCCCCCCCCCCCCCAAATACTGAATATCACGGTCATATCGCAGCGGTATCAAAAAGCAGGTTGTGGTTGTTAGTGAAGTGCCCCGGGTCCGCGAAGTCGCCAGTCTGTACCGGTACTTAGATTCTTGTGTTAGATACTGAAACTTTTAAACCTTCTACCCCTGGTGGATCAGTAGTAAGACACAGTATAATTTATAGACTTGTAAATGGACAAATTAGTATAGCCGTTGTAATATTAGTTTATAATTTCAACCAAATCTTAGTTATCGAAAATACGTTATACGATGACTTCAATCTCAAAAGAGCTGACAAAATACATACCGACTTGATACAAGCGGCCTTCGGGAGAAAATATAGTTATAAATCTGTCGAAACCGGCACTGCTCCCTCTCGACATTTCTGAGCCGTGAAGGGATTTGGAATACTCGGTCAAAAATACGAATATGAAACCAGACAAACAATAAATGCTGGAATCAGAATCCACTATAGCCAACACAGTGACTAAGATAAAACTGTACACGATCACGTTAAAACATGGTGAACGACACACAGAAACGAAATAAGACATAATTTTAGGATTTATAAGGAACAATCATGTTTGAAAACTATCATACTTTGTATCATATAAAGGACATATTAATACTATACAATAAAACCTTGGCACTGAAAACATAAGTAATTTTTTCTTGTGGGTAGTTAATATTCAATAAAGCTCTGTGAATCATAGTATCATCATCGTCAAGTGCCTTGCCGCTTGACGTGGGCGTTCATGCCTCTCCACAATCTGTCATCAACAGGGCGTATCAGTTCTTGTGCTGACGCCCCTCCAATCCATTAGATAAGGTTACTATATCCAGTTTCGTCCTTTTTAAGACGAAATTTTTGGTTATTTGAAGCCCCACCATGGCTTTTGCCAGGGGCCGCAATATAGGCAGGCCTTAAATATGGCCAATTGTCTGATCGCGGTTTATGGGACCTCTCCACGGCGATCCTCATCCACATGTTGGCACTTTGTGTCATTGGGTGTTTATCGCTTGTGTGATGTCCTAGTGGGTTAGAAAGTCAGTCAGTCAGTCAATCCATTAGAAAAAGTTTTGAAGATTCTTCTAGCATTGTCTTACTCTGGCACTTTTCCCACAGTGATTTGCAGGTACTTTATCAGTGTTTCCCAAAGCATGCACTTGCACCACTCCCTTGATAATTACCCCCCAACCCCCTCCCCCTTTTTCCCCGATAACATCAGAATCCTTTCTAGTGTCTTAGTCTTCCACCCCTCGTGGAGGGTTTGGAGTCACTAGTTTTTAAAGGCCAGCTAACATATCCCACTTCCCCTTCTTCCTCTCCAGAAGAAACGTATTCTGCAATGTCTTACTTCTGCGGATGGTGAAGATGTTGAAGCTCATGTGTTGTCAGGTCAGTCACGTGATTATCCACTAACTTTTTGATGTACTCTTCTCGGCATCGAGGGCTGACCCGTAGCAGAGGTTCGGTTTCCAACGCGATGTTCAAGTTTCGACGCAAAATTTACTTGAACATTTCGTTCCGATTCCAAGTTGTTCCAATTTTGAAGAATTTGAATTCCGAGGGAAACTTTATTTTTAGTTCACCCCATCCAGGGGATTCCTAGAGTAGTCGGGGAGTTCCCGGGATAATCCTATATTATAGACGAGCTGGGATTAGAAATTAGTCGTTGTTTATTTCATACCGTAACACCCCTATGATGGGGTAAACGAAAATAAAAGACCTTTTTCAATGTACCCCTGTATTTTTTTAAAATTATAAACACACACATTTGTTTCATTTCTTCACCCTCCCCTTCCCCCATCCTCTCCGTTATGATAAGCCACGGCCATCTTGAGATATAGATGGGCGTGGATAAGCTATGACCCTCGCGGCGGCAAACTCCCCTCCTCCATGTCTTCCCCTTCCCACCGCACTAGTCACTGGAGCGGCTTAGGAAACGAAAGGGTGTGCCCTGTGACAGCCTAAGGGCGGTAGCCTCGGGATAAGGGGGAAGGGGGTGTGACCTGGGACAACCCAGATGGTGGTAGTCTCGTGATAAAAGGGGAGGGATGCCCTGGGACAGTCCAGACGGCTGTAACCTCGTGATAAAAGGGAAAGGGGTGTGCGCTGGGGAAGTCCAGAGGGCGGTAGCCTCATGATAAAGGGGGAGTGGTGCGCTGGGACAGTCCAGAGGGCGGTAGCCTCATGATAAAGGGGGAGTGGTGCGCTGGGACAGTCCAGAGGGCGGTAGCCTCAGGATAAAGGGGGAAAGGTGCGCTGGGAAAGTCCAGAGGGCGGTAGCCTCATGATAAAGGGGGAGGGGTGCGCTGGGACAGTCCAAAGGGCGGTAGCCTCAGGATAAAAGGGGAGGGGCATTGAATGAAAATATGGTAACGGTAAAGAGATAGAGGGTGAGGGGTGGGCACATTTTGATAAATTTGTGCCTCCGCACTGTTCACTCGTTCACAAAGGGTCCTCACAACATCCTAGCTTGTTTAAGAGCGAACACAGAAGAACACTCACTAAGCAGCGGGTAGAAACAACAAAACAAGAATTCCAGAATAGAAATGTAATATAATAATATACAAATTGCCTGGAAACACAAGAGTTAATTTCCCGGGATAAAATGTTATTTTTGTGAATCTCCACCACGCCCAAATTATCACCTGCAGTCTCCCCGTTTAAAGGGAGGCTACCAAGTTTCAGGTTGTGCTGAACGGGGTGGTTCTTCATAGTTGACGGATATGTCCTTGTTTACCTACCAGCCTTGTAATTGTTGATCTCTGCTCTGCAACTTTACGTATGTGCCCCAGATCGTTCAAGTTTGAATTTGCGGGATATTATTAATGTTCTGAGATTATGTCAATTTTAAAAATACAGTTTATCATATGTCGAATTACAGTTATTTTGCTGTGTTTATCGAAGTTTAGATAGAATAATTCTAAGAATTGACTTCAGTGCAATAAGACAATGATTTAGTATGAGATAGTATTTTAGTAATAATAATAATACTTGAGTGTACTGAAACCTATGGTTGTGCTTGATTTAGTAGATTTAGTATATGGTAGTTAGTAATAATACTTGAGTATACTGAAACTTATTGTTGTGCTTTGATTTAGTATATGACAGTTGATAATGATAATAATACTTGAGTATACTGAAACTTATTGTTGTGCTTAGATTTAGTGTATGATAGTTAGTAATAATACTTGAGTTTACTGAAACTTATTGTTGTTCTTAGATTTAGTGTATGACAGCTTATTGTTGTGCTTTGATTTAGTATATGACAGTTGATAATAATACTAGAGTGTACTGAAACTTATTGTTGTTCTTAGATTTAGTCTATGACAGCTTATTGTTGTGCTTTGATTTAGTATATGACAGTTGATAATAATACTAGAGTGTACTGAAACTTATTGCTGTGCTATGATTTAGTTTAAGATAGTAATAATACTTGAGTGTACTGAAACTTATAGTTTATACTCTATCATATTTAAAACTTTTAGAAGTCTGTACAATCAAGTAAATTAACAGAAGCAACTTAAAAAAGTAGTAACTTTCAAATAATAGCTAATCTGCTCAATCACCTACACTAAGACAATGTATAGATTTGTGTCACTGCAACACCAGTTTCCAAAGAGATTCCCTGTCAAATCTATCAAAGGCTATTTCTTAGTCCATAAATGCAACATAAAGTGCTAAGTTCAGGCCAGTGCTCTGCTCTAATATTAGTGAATGTGGTCTTCAGGTCACCGTGGGAATCTGTTTAAAACTTGCATATTCATCCCTTCAGTGTTTTTCAGAATCATTCTACTCTCCATAATTATCATGTTAAGCTTCTGCCATTCTATTAATCATACATTATGTTAAGTCAGATTATAATTGCAATATTTGAAGGCATATGTATTATTATTATAATAAAAAGTCAAAGGTACCTGTTCAGCCTTTTTGGTAAATAATTATAATAAATGTTTTTTATATACACAAATTTTTTAATTCTAACATCAAATCAGTACGTTGTATGGAGCGGAAACATGGAGAACAACTAAGGTATTCAATAATAAGTTACAAATATTCACTAATTGGTGCCTGTGCAGAATAGAGGGAATTAAATGGTATGATAGAATCACTCATGTAGAGCTTTGGGAGAGAACTAAACAAGTTCCAGTGGACCAAGAGGTGAAGAAGAGGTGCTGGCATTGGACAGGACACATGTTGAGAAAACCTGAGATTAATATAACTAGAATGTCTTTGCACCAGAACCCACAGAGGCATAGAAATAAAGGAAGGCTAAAAAAACACATGGAGAAGGGAGCTATAGAGCAAAGTTACATTTTTAAAATTGAGTTGATTTGTACTTGTAATAAACCAGATCTTCAACTTTAACAGTCATGAAAAGAAAACAGTGCTGCCAGCTTGATTTGGAGAGTGATCTCCCTTGTGCCTTGTCCAACATCAAAAATAGCAGATATCGTTGAGACAAAACAGTGTCACCCATCATATTATTTGGACATTAAATTACCATTTGTTGGTGATTGTTTCTTTTGTTATTTGACCCTTTATGTGCATTTTTTCTCTAAGTTCTTGTTAACAGTACTTGAAATTGTTCTTTTTGTACTCCTCTTTTTAATCACATTTGGTTATGGTTGGTTGGGGGGGGGGGTGGGGGGGGGGAAGGGTGTCTTGCCATAAACTCAAGATGAATAGATGAAACACAATACAATTTAAAAAAAGCATATTATAGAAAACCCGAATGAGTCATTTAACGCTGAATGAGTTAAATAAGTGTCCTTTAGAACAAGGATGACCAAATCTGAGGGCTGAGATGACTGGAGCGCCCCTCTTCCCCCCCCCCTTCCCCTCCGAAAAAACCTTTTAGGAAGGGGAAGCTTATGACCCTCCTAAGTAAGTTGGCTAATGGGTCCGCTTTTACCATATATACAAATTATCTTTCAAAGGTTTTGTTTATATTGTACTTATTATTTCAGATATATAATTAGATTTATTTACTTTTCAACAGATTATTATTATTATACTTCTAAACTAATATCATGCCCCTTGAGACTCCAATCTCCCATTTTGCATAGAAAATTTGTGAGTGGAGGGTAGGGGAGGATGGGCAAAGTCTGTGCGCCTGCACCAGATTTAATATTTCTTGCCGCAGTTAGTAATGTTGAATATTAATATGCATCTTTCATCAGCCCAGGTACTTTATTCTACAGTAAAATAAGCCACCCCAAGTTGCATATTTATATTTTAAAGATATGATGAGCACAGCCATGCAATGTGGACTCTCATGATCTGTGTTTAAGCCCAAAATTATGCAATGAATAGTATTTATAATAACAATAATAACAGGAAAATGCCAGAAATTATTCGAAGTTCCTCGACACAAGCAGACTGGGCCAGCAGGGTACAGATTCGAGGGATTTTGTCAAAGAAACCATTTGGTCATCAGTCCAGTAGGTGGTCAAAGCGGTAAGTGTTGTACTTTCCTGCAACATTTTAAAATTATTTAGGGTGGAACTTATTACATCAACCCTGTTTGGGTTCCTGGGTCACATTGTGGAAAAACAAGAATATACCCACTGCCTCCCCAACAAGCATGTTGTAAGAGTCAACTAATTGGAGCTTCTTTCAAAGTCGGAGTGCATCTGCCAGAGAGGCAAGGAACCAATGGTCTGCATACAAATAAGCAAGATCTGTAAAACAGATACACACACAAAACCCTGGTCCTAGAATGGAGCCAAAGTCAAGAAATGGACAAACAACCAGGTCTCTCCGTGGGAGTTTACAGCTGGTGAACGCAAACAACAACATTACTACTTCAAATGGACATTTAGAAAGACCTATTTGTAGCTGTATAGACTTCTCATGGCTTTCTGACAGTGGTACAAGAGTCACACCATGGAAGAGATTAGGGCCTTACCAAGAAACATTTTCCCAAAACATCGCTGGTGCACTGAAGCCAGCCTCCAATGTAAAATTGAGTTGCGTTGGGTTGAATTAGGAATTGACATCACAGCACTCAGGTCATTCCCATATGCGCTCCACGCCCATCTTCAGCAGCCAGCACAGAATACCAATACTAATGATACTGGTCGTAGTCTGGTTTTATGTCCGTCTTGCCTTTCCTCTGAGTGTACTTAGCCAGCCAGACCCTCTGGTCACACCCTGGTGCATCATTCCTTCCAGGCCCTAATAATTTAGTTTTTCTTCCGACTTCATTACTTGTTTTCAAAGGACCTTGACCACGTCTGCCTTGCTGTGTATCAATTAACCACCCAGTAGTGCAGATCGGCGCAATCTGTCTGCCTGCTTATTTCCCACCACGCCAACATGACCTGGAGAAAAGATCCGAAGTATGCGCACTTGTTATGACCTCCTGCAATGTAAAGCAAAAATAAGTAATTAGGAACCTTTTCCATGCCATCAAGTGTATTGGGTATTTAAGGCTAGACCTCTGTTTTATAGACCATTCAGAACTGGGTGGATTTAACCAGATTAAGACCGGTACCATCAGTGTTGGAACTCTGCGCTGGCTGCTGAAGATGAGGACAGAGCATGCATGGGAATGCTCCGTGTACTGTGCACAACTCAGAACTGGGTGAGTGATGTAGTCAGCATCATGCTGGCCACCTTTACCTCCCAGGACTTTACCTGGTACCCATTTAAGGATTAGTCAACCTGGAAGAAATAGTCATTTTTGAAAAAAAAATCTGGCAAACTCCATTGTGGAAACACACAGTAAAAAAAAAAAAAATAATTTTTTTAATTAATTCTGGTATATGGAAGAGAATCATGGATGGTCAGCAGATAGCACAGATTAATGTAGAAACTGCTGAAATATGGTTTTATAGAAATGTGGTGAGAATACCAAGTAGCAGGGCCTTTTTTGTTCTAGACAAAATGTCTAAACAAGGTGCCTCTACTCACTACAAAATGCCTAAACAAGGTGCCACTAATCAGAAATCAGAACACTTATCATGGGAAAATACAAGGAATTGTGGAGAGAACAAACTAACAATAAACATTAACAAGACCCCATCAGAAAACTCAACAGATAGCAAGCAACCTACAACAATTTTCAACCTACAAACAGGATCCTGCAGGCTCAACTACCATTTGTATAAAGTAAAGATTGTATCAGCAAAACCTACAATAGCAATTTTTCAACCTACAAACAGGATCCTGCAGGCTCAACTACCATTTGTATAAAGTAAAGATTGTATCAGCAAACTCAACAGATAGCAACCTACAACAATTTTCAACCTACAAACAGGATACTGCAGGCTCAACTACCATTTGTATAAAATAAAGATTGTACGGTCCCCACAGTGTGCCTGTCAAACAGGACCACAAACACATGAGCACATTCTGCGGACCTGCCCACCCTACATACAACTTCAAAAAGATACCTGGCCTCAAGAGCAAAGTCTGCAGAGCAAGCTATAGGAAACCATGAAGGACCTGCTACTGACATAGAGGCAACCCACCTGATGGTCTGATCTGAGCATACGAAACAAAATGCAAAGAAGAAGAAAAAGCATTTAACACACAGTGAACCGGTTCCAACATCAGAAGAAAACAGTTTATGCTCTTTGGGAAAGTTATAAGAAAAGAAAACCAAAACAAAGTCTGACATTTTATTCTACTTCTGTGTTCGGGTTTCCTTTGAAGATTTAGTGCATCTGAGAGACGAATTTAAAGACTTTTTTAGTATCATACAGTACTTTACCTCTTCTCATTTCTTCTTTTTTTAATAAAACTACGCTGGTTGCTGAAGATGGGGATGGAGCACTTATCGGAATGTCCTGAGCGCTATGATGTTGGTTCCTCACCAAGTTCAACTTATTTCTTCCGGTGCACTGGTTGTAAACGCTTGCGAAAGGTTCTCATTGTTCGTCCACCTCGGGATTTTAGTCTTGTTTCAAAACCTGAGTGTTGCATGCACATCCCTTTTACTGATCTGACTTATTTGTATGCAGACTGTTAGGTTCATTGCCTCTCGAAGCAGATGGGCTGTGACTTCGAAGGAAGTCCCTTATTAGTCCCTCTATGACATGCTTGTTGGGGGGGGGGGGGGGGGGGGTCTGTTCTTGTTTTCCCCACAATGGGACCCTGGAGCTCACATGGGGAATTTTTATTTTAATCTCTGCTTATTTCTGCTGCTGTTTTTTTTTTTAAAGAATCCCATCATTGTTTGAACCTTGGTTCAGATGCACCCACATTTCTTAAATTGTTATTGAGCACCACTGTGTTGACAGTTATACCGACACTATAGAAAGAATAATATTTCTGAAAATAGTGAAATTGAGTTTTTAAAATATTATCTTTATGTTGATACCAAGAGACTTACATGTACATTTTTTTTAAATATTAGGTTCTTCTTAGTCAAAGATGGATTTCTTATGTATTATGATGCAAATGAAAGAAAAGACATCGAAAGACGAGAGTTTTTCAATGTCCATCCTAAGGTAATATACTAATTATATGTATATATGTTTTATTTATTTTCAATTCCTTTAGACATTTTTCATTTTACTGGGTTACTAGGTTGACTGGGAGCTGCAGAAGTGAAAATGATATAGTTTAGTTTTCCTATTATGTTTACTGTTACATTATTTAACTCTTTTAGGATGGCATTTTTTCTGCGGTCAACAGCATTAATTTTAAGCGTAAGTGCAACACGCGATCGAAGAAAAAAGTATGGGCTGCATGGGACTTATAATATATCAAATTAAAGTGGATTCTAAACTACTTAAATGTCGTATAACATCAAAATATTATTAAAATCCCACAACATTCAAGGATGTTAGACACAAAGAACAATTTTAAGCATAAAAAATTGTGTGCTAACCTTATTTTTCACTGGTTCAGCAACACTGCTATCCAATTCTAAGAATACACACGCCTTCTCTGTTCAATTATTTATCAGCTAGTCTTTATTTGAAACAATTAATTTAAATACTTTGGATATTATAATCATTTTTGAACGACGTGTCAATTTTCACAACAACCGACAATCGGAAAAACAGCTGATCGAAACATTGATCTAATTGAAATATTTTGTGAAATTTTCATATCCTAAACTAAATTATCGCTAGTAGATGTGTCCCTTAGATATCAATCATAATATCAAGACTGTTGTCATCATCTGGCAGGGACTCATCAACGATAGAGCAGTATGGACAGTTCTAAATGTTTTCCCTTATAATTTAGTGTAGAAAAATCACGTAAAAATTGTATCCCTTCTAAATAATTTTTTTTAAATAACAAAATAATGCACCGACCACGATGAACATCGCAAATAAAAGTACATCCTGTTCTTAATTCCAATTGTTAAAAAACTTGTTCATAAAAGTTAGTTTACCCTACAAACGAAACAAAATTAGAGTGTCTCTATCATGAGCCAGTAAACTGACTTTACGTCTTTAAGGGATAGACTTAAGCGCCAGTATACTGGCCAAACGTCCGAAAAGAGTTAATGTGCATTATACCTAAAATACAGTGTGCTATGTGAAGTATAGTAGCTAAAAGTGATAATTGCAATATGGGCCTGCATTCCAAATTTATGACATTTTAAAAATAAAGTTTATTAGTTCTACAAGGAAGATTAGCTAGTAAACAACATCTTCTCTCGGAAAAATGAAATATTTTGGCCATATCAAGCACCACGACAGATTGGAAGGAATTGTAGTGGAAGGTCTGGGGCCAGGAAAGAGGAGTAGATAATAAGAAGAGAGACTTTGAAGAATATTGTGATAACTCGCTTCTTGGCTTGCTTTGTTGACAAAAGATAGAAAATAGTCACCATCAGCCAGCATCCCCAAAGGGGGAACTTTTGGTTGTAATTGTGACCAGTTTATGTGCACCATATAAAATGGCTTAGCATTGCTCGCCACCAAGTAACTCTGAAAAAAACTCCTGCAGTGTCGATGCAGTCAAAGGAGACAGACCCAAATATTGTCCTGACCGGTGATGAAGTCGTCTGTCGGCCAGCCAACAGATAACCGGGATGCTGATGTGATGACTGGAAAAACCAGTAGTAAATAAAGCTAAGACAGACCAAAACAAATGATGAAGAAAAATAAGTAAATTTGATCTAGAAGGCCATGGAAAAACATGTGTCTGACAATTCACATAATGATGGTGATGAATCCTGTAAACAGCGGATTAGTCTGGCTGACGTATCTCAAGCAATCATTCTCTGGATGCAGAACTAAACAAACGTATAGGAATGGCCTCTGCTATGTTTGCAAATCTCACAAAGAGAGTCTGGTCAAACAATAAGCTAACTGATAATACAAAAATGAAGGTTTATGAGTCTTGTGTCCTGAGCACATTACTGTACGGCTGCGAATCCTGGACTCTCTATGCTCCACAGGAAAAAAGACTGAATACCTTCCATATGTGCTGTCTGAGACGCATCCTTGGTATATTATGGCGAGACCTTGTCTCCAACGAATGTGTGCTCACAAGAGCAAAAATACCATCAATGTATTGTATTCTGAAGCAAAGACGTCTGCGCTGGCTGGGACATGTCTCCCGCATGGAGGATGGTCGTATTCCAAAAGATCTTCTATATGGTGAATTGGTAGCTGGGAATAGACCTGCAGGAAGGCCAAAGCTGCGCTATAAAGATGTATGCAAACATGACCTAATAGATACCAACATAGGCACAGAGACATGGGAAAAATCAGCTGCAGATCGACTACTATGGAGACAGAAAGTGAAAGACGGACTGTCACATTTTGAAAGAAACCGAACACAACGAGCTGTGGAGAGGAGGCACCGGAGAGTAAAACTGCCTCACAACGAGGGAGTATCTGCTTTTGTGTGTATCCTGTGTGGCAAAGACTGCCATTCCCGCATTGGACTTCACAGTCACAGCAGATGCTGTTCCCAAAGCCAGCGGCACATCTCCATAGTCCCCCGGGACTGACGGATGCCATTAGTCATTAGTCTGGCTGACAGAAAGAATAACTGGGGCAGAAAGCTGACAGATTCAATAGTTGAAAGCAAAAAGGTCAATGAGAATGAATAATGAGAATGAATAGTTTCAGAAAGCCTGATATAAGGAATAGTTGAAAATGAAAACGCAGAAAGCTAATCAGAGGGAATTATTTTTTTAAAAGTCTCATAGAGTGAATAAATGGAGATCCCCCTGTGGGTTACAGGGCCTTACTGTGGGGAAAACAAGAAGAGACCCACTGCATGCCCAACTAAGTGAAGGCTTCTTTTGAAGTCAGAGTTCATCTGCCTGAGAGGCAAAGAACCAACTGTCTGCATGTGAATGAGTCAGACTTGTGAAACGGATGTGCATGCAACACTCAGTTTCTGGAATTAAACAAGAGTCAAGAAGTGGGTAAACAACCGGAACGTTTCACCAGTCGGTGAACGTGGTGAATAACTGAAGACAAGCTGATGATGAATTGTTGAACTGAGTTGAGTAAAGGTTTGATTTCATAGTACTTTTGACATTCCCATAATTTATCCGTCCCCATCTTCAGCAGCCAGTACATAGTTTGAATTCTGATCTTATCAGTAGCAGTCTTATAGTATGTCCGCCTAGCCCTTTTTTCCCCACTGAGGGTTTGAGAGTCAGCCAGCTTCCCTGGTCACTCCCCGCTGCATCATTTTCTTATTCTCTACAGATCTAAATTATCTGTTTGTGCCTCCGCACAAAGGGATTTCACAGCATCTGCCTTGTCATGCATCAAGTTATTACCAAGCAGTACAGAACTAACTAGTCTGTCTGTTTGAATAGTTGACAAACTGGCTGATAAGCGTGAATAATTGAAAAAAACAAAAACAAAGGTGTTGTAGTTAGAAGGTCATCATCACACTGTTTAGAACTTCTCTGTATATTTTGTATTTTAAACATTTTTACTTTATTCACAGGGTGTCATACCATTAGGAGAGTGCCACTTTAAATCATGTAAAGAAACTCAACAGCCGTTTTGTATTTTGCTTGAAAGTCCAGAGATTGGTGTGAGTACATGTTGTTAACCTTCTTGTTGTTCTTTTTGCCTCTCTGCTCACTCTTAAAAGAGCCGTTGTGTTGTGGTTTACAGCTTGGCTTTAATTATATGTGCCTTTCAGCCCAGCATATCCGTTTTCAGTAAGCCTTTAATTAGTCATCTTTTACAACATGCTTGTTAGGGGCCAGTGGTTTTGTGTCCCCCCCCCCCCCCCACACACACACCCACACACACACCGAAATGGGACCACAGGACCAATACTTGAAATTTTTTGTGTGTGTTTTGTTGCTAGTGTTTTAGATTTTGTTTTATGTTATCGACCATCTTATGAAATGATTTCTTCACCGCTTGTGTTGAATATTAGTGATTTTGTTTTTTTCTAATGTTTTGTTGTTGTTGCCAACTGAAGGTTTGTATTGGATAAGACAGCAACCCAGTGCCAGCCCTACTTTGTTGACTCTCACTTTTTTATATAGGAAATTATTATTGCTTTTTTTTGTTTCCTTTGATGACCCCGAACTTGAAAGAACGATACTAATGGCATTTAACATTTGTATTCATAAAGATGCAATTGTTTCTTCATAATTTTCAAGCATTTATCCATCTCAAAGACATATCTTATAAGTGGTTAGGCGATCTGTGCGTTCAGAAGTGTACTCGTAGAGATCGCCGGTTAGGTTCGCATAAATCTCCCCAAACAAAGTAGGTCACTTTCATTCACAGGTTTGTTGCTTTCTACGTTGTCTTGCATTTACATTTTCGTTCTGAGAAAGAGAATGCTTGTGACGTAGGTTGCAGCACTCTGTAGTGATGTTGAATGTTGAATTAAGAATCGACATCACATTATTCAGGACACTCCCATAAGTGCTCAGTCCATATCTTCAGCAGCAAGCAGAGAGTTCCAATTCCGATGGTACCAGTAACCACCTGATTGTAAATCTGTCTCATCCTTCCCCTGAGTGTTGAGCGTCAGCCAGATCCCCTGGTAACTCCTCGCAGCGCCATTCTCCTTAAATCGTAAATATCTGTCTGTGCCTCCACACTGTTCGCTTGCTCCCAAAGGGCCCTCTCAATATCTAACTTGCCATACATCAATCCACCCCCAAGTGGTGCAGAGCCAGTGGGGTTGTGTTAGGGCCAGTTTCTCCATGTTTTTGGAGTGTTAAAAGCGCTGGTAGGGCTGAAATCTACAATACGTGATATCAACAGCATTGTGGAACACCTTGTAACCTTGTGACAAGGTGACGGTTCAGGAACTACCAGTCAGAAGTGAGTTAGTGTGTATATGGCTGGGCGTGGGGAGACAAACGTTACTTTAATCAAGATCGCTATCGTTGAGATGACTGTGGGACACTGCTGTCTCTCCAGCATCTGAGCTGTATACTATAAATTCTTTCAGTCACACAAAGTCCATGTTAATGTCGGAGAGAGTTAATTGATTTGATTTGATTCAAGAACCGACATCACAGCACTCGGGGCATTCCCATAAGCGCTCCGTCCCCATCTTCAGCAGCCAGCGCAGAGTTCTGATACTAATGGTGCAAGTAGCATTCTGATTAAACGTCCGTCTTAAAAACCTCTGAGCATCGAGCATTGCCAGAACCTCTCATCACTCCCCGCTGCATCAATACTCACCAGACTGTGGTGATTGTTTTCTGACTCATAATGTACAACTCTCGTACAAGGCACTAACCACGTCTGCCTTATTCATGTATCAGTATTCCACCACAGTTGTGCAGAGCCAGCCAGTCTGTCCGCTTGTTCATTTCCCACACACTGGTGAGCCCCGGTGAAAAAATCCAGACAATACTCCTCACCCGTGTCCTCCGCAGTGAAGCATGCTTTCTGAGTCCGTTACAATCACGATGTGTGTGTGTGTGTCGTGTTCTCTAGCCAGAGGAAAGCTGCAGTGACCGCCTCAATCTCCAATCTTAAGCTGGATGTTGTGGTATCATATGCTAGGCTCTCCTGCACCAAACGTCGACCACTAACTTTTGCTAAGAAGCCCCAAGCACTTCTTTTGCCTCTTGACACATGTTCTCAAGGATGCAAACCTGTCTAGAGAGAGTTAAGAATAGCAATACTAAACTCATAAGTATACTACATCCAGAGGGGACCCTTGCAGGAAACAAATATGTTTTCAGAGTTTTTCAGGGTTGCTGAATAAATGTAAGATACAAAAACATAATGTGTTGACTGATACAGGTGGGTAATACTCAGTCACCCGTGGTGTATTGTTTTGGACACAAAGTGTTAACTCTGGGTAGTACTTTTGTTGTAACACTCAAACAGTATAAACGGAACAGTTGATCATTAGACAACAGTATGAACAGCCTGCCTCACAATGTTTCACAGTTGAAGTAATCAAACAGTGTTCATGGTTCTGTCACTCTTAACCCTAATACTTTATTAGACTATAAGATGTTCATAAATATAGTGAAAACAACTTCTATGTTTTTGTAATAACTAGTAATATTACTGTCGGTTTTTGGCAATATCTGTTGGAACCAAATCCATTGTTTTGCTGTCTCTCCCAATTCTACATTTTGAACTGACCACATAGTTGACTCTTTGTCTTAGCTCATTTGCATACTTCCTTTGTGTTCTGTCAGCCTTGGCAGTCATCACTTGCAAGTGTGAATGCTGGGGCTTTATTTATACCCTGTTATGTCTAGATCCTCAGTCATAAACAGGGTCATGACCTCAGTCATAAACAGGATCATGACCTCAGTCATAAACAGGATCATGACCTCAGTCATAAACATGATCATGACCTCAGTCATAAACAGGATCATGACCTCAGTCATAAACAGGGTCATGACCTCAGTCATAAACAGGGTCATGACAGTGGTAAAACATGGGTTTTGAAAATGGCTTCATTTAAAGAGAAGGCTGAACTTAGGGCTAAACTATCATATTTCTTAGACACAGATTAAATATGAAAGGAATTTTCATATTTATGTGACGATGTATACATGACTCCTGGCAGTAGAAATTGCTTGTCCGCTCATTTCTGATAAAATTGAAATTGCATGTCCACTCATCTCTGATAAAATATTTAATCATAATTTAGCTGGGCATTTCTGATATCTCAGTGAAACTAGAGTATGTGTCGATTATGAAAAAAAATTCACATCCAGACATTTCATGAATGTGTTGATAATATAATCATCAGTTTTCACATTCTAAATAAATTGATGTGGACAAGCGTGGGAAGTTGGAGTGCTAGATTCAGCCACATGGTTTCGGTGTTAGATGTTTCACACTTGACAGAGGGCAGAAAAAAACATTTCTTTATCGGTCTGTCTGTCTGTCTATTTCTATTTTTTTATCTTTTTTTTTCCATCCATGTGTCCTTGTGTCTCTCTGTCCATTAATCCATCCATCTATCTGTCCATCCATATATCCATTTGTGTCTGTCTGTCTGTCCCTGTCTCTCTCTCTCTCTCTCTCTCTCTCATCTCTCTACACACACACACACATATGCACGTACGCATGCACATGCGCACACACACACACACACACACCACACTGTTTTTCTTTCATACCTACACTGCATGGTCATACATTTAATTCATATGTTTTCCCTTTGTGAATTTAAAAATGGAGGACAGAAAAAAAAGGCATACTGCTCAATTTATTATCAGGCATATTTCATTGGTGCTTTTGATAGTTTACATAGAATCTTTGAATGTTATGGTATACCAATGAAAATAAGAAATATTACTAAGGTAATACATGTAGGTTCTGAGTGTGCAGTGCGAACAGATGATGGTTTGAGTGATTGGTTTGAAGTTGATACTGAAGTGAAACTGGTGCATTTTATCTCCTCTGTTATTTGGCATAAACAGTGACGACTGGGTGATGAACAAATATTGTGTTGGAAACACCGGCATTGACTGGGTGATGAACAAATATTGTGATGGAAACACCGGCATTGACTGGGTGATGAACAAATATTGTGATGGAAACACCGGCATTGACTGGGTGATGAACAAATATTGTGTTGGAAACACCGGCATTGACTGGGTGGAGAACAAATATTGTGTTGGAAACACCGGCATTGACTGGGTGATGAACAAATATTGTGTTGGAAACACCAGCATTGACTGGGTGATGAACAAATATTGTGTTGGAAACACCAGCATTGACTGGGTGGAGAACAAATATTGTGTTGGAAACACCAGCATTGACTGGGTGATGAACAAATATTGTGTTGGAAACACCAGCATTGACTGGGTGATGAACAAATATTGTGTTGGAAACACCAGCATTGACTGGGTGATGAACAAATATTGTGATGGAAACACCGGCATTGACTGGGTGATGAACAAATATTGTGTTGGAAACACCAGCATTGACTGGGTGATGAACAAATATTGTGATGGAAACACCGGCATTGACTGGGTGATGAACAAATATTGTGATGGAAACACCGGCATTGACTGGGTGGTGAACAAATATTGTGATGGAAACACCGGCATTGACTGGGTGATGAACAAATATTGTGATGGAAACACCAGCATTGACTGGGTGGTGAACAAATATTGTGATGGAAACACCGGCATTGACTGGGTGATGAACAAATATTGTGATGGAAACACCAGCATTGACTGGGTGATGAACAAATATTGTGATGGAAACACCGGCATTGACTGGGTGATGAACAAATATTGTGTTGGAAACACCAGCATTAACTGGGTGAAGAACAAATATTGTGTTGGAAACACCAGCATTGACTGGGTGAAGACACTTTTGGAAGATCTTGATTTTGCTGATGATATTATTCTGCTAAGTAAAAACAGCAATGACATAGAGTTAGACTTTAGATAAGTTATGAAAAGACAAATATGCTGAGGACACTAGAAAAAATCAAGCAGATGTACAAGGGGAAGTCAATAAGTAAGTCACAAATGGTTATGGGGTGGCAGGAAAATGTAGTTGGCAATTTCTAATGGTGTCATTAGGTGACAGCAGCTTTATGTCTCCGTTTTTTAGGTGGCGTTAGGTGTTGCATGTGCATTCACA